GAGACCTCATCTCTACAATAAGTCAAAAATGAGCCGGGCGTGGTAGCGCGCACCTGTAGTTCCAGCTACTTGGAAGGCTGGGGCGGAAGGATCGCCGGAACCCAGCAGGCCAAGGCTGCGGCCACTGCACTCCAGTCTGGGTGACAGAGTGAGACTCCAACTCAAAAATAAAAAAAAAAAAAAGGAAAAGTCAAACGCTGGAGCGTCTGCTCTCAAACGTCAACTGTTGCCTGTGTGTCTTAGAAGTGACATCCACACACTCAGAGTACATCCCTCCTCCATGCCCAGTCATCTGTTGTCAAGGATGTTGCTTGCGTGTTTATTGCACAATTCGGTGCTTGTGTCAGAAGAGTTGAGTTCTGGGCAAATGAACTCTGTAATAAGCTGAAAATGTCTATTTGGTCTTGTTTTATTTTATTTTATTTATTTGTGAGTCAGAGTCTCACTCTGTCGCCCAGGCTGGAGTGCAGGGGCCCGCTCACAGCCACCACTGCCTTGACCTGCATCAGGTGATCCCTCTGCCTCAGCCTTCCAAGTAGCTGGAACCACAGGCATGCGCCATCATGCCCAGCCAATTTTTGATTGATTGTAGAGACAAGGCCTCACCTAGTTGTCTAGGCTGGTCTTAAACCCCTGGGCTCAGGCAGTCCTCTCGCCTTGGCCTCCCGAAGTGCTGGGATGACAGACTTGAGCCACTGTACCTGGACTGGTCTTGTTTTATTTACTGATTTGTTGAGTCAGGGTCTCGCTCCATCACCCAGGTGGGGAATGCAGTGGCACAATCACGACTCACCGCTGCCCCAACCTCATGGGCTCAGGAAATCCTCCCGCCTCAGCCTCCTGAGTCGCTGGGACTACAGGCACGCGCCACCATGCCCAGCTAATTTTTAAATTTTTTTTTGTAGAGGTGAGGTCTTACTGTGTTGATTTTTTTTTTTTGTAGAGATGAGGGCTTGCTATAATGTTGCCCAGGCCAGTCTCGAACCCCTGGCCTCAAGCGATCCCTCCCACTTGGGTCTGTGCTTGCTCCAACCCCTAGAAGATAGACATCTCCCTTGCAGCCACACTGTCCTCTTGGTTTCTCCCAGCCTGTACTGAGGTTATACACTCTGTGGACCTTTGGCAGTTTTCCAGCTGGTTCGATCATTGAAGGATCTGGTTGGTGCCAGGCTTGGGCTCCACGGGGCTTAGCTCTGACTCGAGGAGGAAGGATGCCGGCCTGCTGGCTTAGCCTTCCTGGGAGGCAAGCGTGTGTGGGTGCTCCAGATGAACGCGGGTCGGTGGGAAAACTAGGGATTCCGGGCGGGAGGTGCTGAACGGCACAGCTTGACTGGGAAGCGAGAGTGGGCTGTGCATCAACATGGGATCTGGCAGGTGTGGGCATTTCAGCCCAAGGAGCAGCCTGACCGCATGAGACTGCCCGGGAGGGGACCTGCTGAGAACCAGGGGCCGTGTCCAGGTGGCTCTGATCTGGTGCTGTCCAGGGCCATGTCCAGGTGGTTTTGATCCGGAGCTGAGTGACAGCACTTCTCAGGGGCAGGCTTTTTGTTGTGTTTTGTTTTGGGTCAGGGTCTCACTCTGTCGCCTGGGCTGGAGTGTAGTGGCATGATCACAACTCACCACAGCCTCGACTCTGCTGAGTGCAAGTGATCCTTCCGCCTCAACTTCCCAAGTTGCTGGAACTACAGGTGCATGCCACCACACCCAGCTAATTTTTTAAACATTTATTGCAGAGGTGAGGTCTCAGACCCCTGGACTCAGGCAATGCCTCCCAAAGTGCTGGGATTACAGGCATGAGCCACCATACCTGGCCAGCCCGGCAGGTTTTTTGTTTTTTTTTGTCCACTTCAGTTTTACAGATATAAGCAGAGTGGTGGCCACATGTCAGGTTCTGTGTTCTGTATTTGAGGCTGTGAGGGCATGGCTTCTGCCTGCCAAGAGCTCTGCGTCCTCCCTGGTACATCAGAAGAACTTCATAAACCTGTGTGGAAATAAGTGTTGCAGCCAGAGTCCTCACACTGCATGATGACAATGTCTTTTATTTATGTTTTTTTAGGTGGAGTCTCACTCTCTTGCCCAGGCTGGAGTGCAGTGGCACAATCACTCACAGCTCACCCCCAGTCTTGACCTCCTGGGCTCAGGCGATCCTCCTGCCTTAGCCTCCCAAGTAACTGGGGCTACTACCACACCCAGCTAATTTTTTGATTTTTTGCAGAGATGAGGTCTCGCCACATTGCCCAGGCTGGTCTCGAACTCCTGGACTCAAGCATTCCTCCTGTCTCAGCCTCCCAAAGTGCTAGGATTGCAGGTATAAGCCACTACTCATGGCAAAAATACCTTTCATCATTGAAATTTTTAAAATAAGTGTAAATTTTTAAAGTAATCTGTGCTTACATTTTTAAAAGTTCAGAGTTTTAAAAGCTTTACAAAAATATATCCATAGTTCTCTACTGCATCTCATATCCCACAGTTACGCTTGCCACCAGCAAATACTTTTCATCTCTTAGCTACTTTTGTGTTGTCTGTACCTGCTTATTGCCAAGTAATTTCCTTTCACCACTCCCAACTTTGCAAATTTCCTTCTGCACATCCAGTAGCCAGCCTGTAATCAGAGTTCACGTTGTTATGACAAAGTTACCAGCATTCATGGTTGGGCGCAGTAATGTTTTGTAATCTGGTTTCTCGTTTCTCCCCTTGTATGGCTTTTTATTTTTCCTGGGGTTAATGGTTGCTTCCCTTTTTCTCACCTGGCAACACGGCGAGACCTCATCTCTACAAAAAAATCAAAATATTAGCCAGGTGTGGTGGCAGTCCCAGCTACTTGGGAGGCTAAGGCAGGAGGATCACCTGAGTCCAGGAGGTCAAGACTGGTGAGCTGTGATTGATTGTGCCACTGCACTCCAGCCTGGGCAAAAGAGTGAGATTCCGATAAAAAAAAACAAATAAAAGACGTTGTCATCATGCAATGTAAGAACGCTGGTTGCAACACTTATTTCCACACAGGTTTATGAAGTTCCTCTGATGTACCAGGGAGGAAGAATTCTTGGCAGGTAGAAGCCATGCCCTCACAGCCACAAATATAGAACGCAGAACCTGGCACGTGGCTTATGCATCTATGCACCTGTTGTTACTTTTCTTCTGAATGCTCTAACACGACTGTCATACATATTGGTAATTTTTCTTTTTTTTTGAGTTGGAGTCTCACTGCATCACCCAGGCTAGGGTGTAGTGGCACGCTCACAGCCACCGCAGCCTCGATCTACTGGACTCCGGAATCCTTCCGCCTCAGCCTTCCAAGTAGCCGGAACTACAGGCATGCACCACCATGCCTGGTTAATTTTTTTGACTTATTGTAGAGACGAGGTCTCTCCAAGTTGCCTGGGCTGGTCTTGAACCTGCGGGCTCAGGCAGTCTACTCACCTCGGCCTCCCCTGGTGCTGGAATGATAGGCTGAGCCACCAAGCCTGGCCTCATATAGGTAATTTTTCTACACACTGAAACATAACCTGATCCATCATTTTTTTTTTTTTGAGTTGGAGTCTCACTCCTTAACCCAGGCTGGAGTGCAGTGGCATGCACACTCACAGCTGCTCTAGTGTCGACCTGCTGGACTCTGGCGATCCTTCGCCTCAGCCTTCCGAGTAGCCGGAACTACAGACGTGCACTACCACGCCCAGCTATTTTTTATTTTATTGTAGAGACGAGGTTTCACCAAGTTTCCCGGGCTGGTCTCGAACCTGCAGGCTTGGGCAGTCCACTCGCCTCAGCCTCCCAAAGTGCTGAGATTACAGGCTGAGCCACTGAGGCCAGCCTATTTTTTATTTTTATTTTTATTTTTGAGTTGGAGTCTCTGTCACCCAGGCTGGAGGGCAGTAGCATGCTCCCGGCCACCGCAGCCTCAGCTTGCTGGGCTCAGGCAGTCCTTCCACCTCAGCCTTCCAAGTAGTTGGAACTACAGGCATGCATTACCACACCCAGCTAATTTTTTTTTTTTTTTTTATTGTAGAGATGAGGTCTCGCCAAGTTGCCCAAGTTGGTCTTGAACCCATGGGCTCAAGCAATCCTCTTACCTTGGCCTCCCAAAGTGCTGGGATTATAGGTGTGAGCCACTGCTCTCAGCCAATCTCTAATATTTTAAAGCTTTACAGTTATGGAAGTGGGGTTGTCTCTGCTTCCTCTGAATAATAACCATGGAGAGCAACTTTGGGTACCGAGAGAGTTTCTCCTCCCACACTTTTTTTGTGGACTGTTTGAAGGTTATTTGGGTCTCTGTATGGGCCACTATTTTAGGCCCTGGTCACAGAGCCATAATGAAGAGGGCACAGGGTCCCTGCTCTTGAGGAGCTTATGCTCTCACATGGGAGGCCATAGACATTGCACGTGTGCACAGATGACAGTTGTGGACGGGTGCGAGTTATTAAGGAGGTCAGGGGCAGGTGGAGTGTCTTGGTGGTGACCTGGCGGCAGCCGCTTCAGATGGTCTGGAAGGGAAGGTCTCCCGAGGGGGCACATTTTATACACGCCTCCAGACTTGCTGTCAGCAAGGAGGTGGCTGGTGTCGTGAACCAGGGGACTTCTATTCAAGGATGAGTCAAGATCCCCGAGTCCCTGGCGCACAGGGACCTGGGGTAGGGGGCTGTGTGGGAGGGAGGGGAGGTGGAACTGACTCAGGCTGTAAGAAGGTCAGATGCCCTGGCACTGCCCTGGCACCATCTGGAGAACAGAGTGGGAGCTGGCATCGGAAGGCCGAGTGGGTAGTGGCTGCAGGCTCCGCGAAGATGGTTATCTCTTTCCCGCCTGGAGCCTTGCTGGGGAAAGGTTTCGGGGAGGTGGGCAGAAGGGACCAACCCTACTGGGCTGTGAGCTACAGCGGGTGTGGTGGGGAAGGGGTGCCTACTCTTTGCGGACCGTCTGAGCGAGCTGCCTCCTCTCTGCAGGGCACAATGGCGGCAAAATCCCAGCCCAGCGCTCCCAAAAGCAGGAGTCCGGGTGGCATCACTGATGACAGGGTTGCGTCTCAGGGCCAGTGGGGCCGTGCCTGGTAAGAGTCCGGCTCGCTCTCCCAGCTGGATAATAAAGTGTGTCTCAGGGCTGTTTCTAGATGTTGGGATTTTACGGGCTCAGAGAATGTTACATATTTTATTATTGTTAAGACTGCAAAAGGTAAGCTGTTTCTACTCTAAGGTAAGAAATTGAAAAAGAATGTGGAAAATGCTGTCACCAAATGGTGTAGAAACATGTGGACTTGTTCGTTTGTTTTTTGGGGTTTTTTTTTTGAGTCAGAGTCTCACTCTTGTCACCCAGGCTGGAGTGCAGTGGCACGCTCCTGGCCACTGCAGCCTTGACCGGCTGGGCTCTGGTGATCCTTCTGCTTCAGCCTTCCAAGGAGCTGGAGCTCTAGGTGCATACCACCCCGCCTGGCTACTTTTTTGATTTATTGGAGAGACAAGGTCTCACCAAGTTGCTGGGGCTGTTCTCGAACCCATGAGCTCCAGCAATCCTCTCGCCTTGGCCTCCCAGAGTGTTGGGATGACAGGTGTGAGCCACCATGCCTGGTGAAACTGTGGACTTAGAGGGCAGCTGGTCCCTCCACTCTCCTGGGGATATGTTGTCGTGGGTTTTTTGTGTGTGTGTTTTAACATTTTTTTGACCCTTTGATGTCCTTGTCTGTCCTGGCTCCTGTTCACTCTAGAGTGAGAGGGACTTGGGTGTGGGCAAGCTTCCTCCCTGACTGGGAACAAGGAATCTGCGGACTGTGGTGGCCGTGAAGGGCCTTTCTGCATCCGTCCTCTGGGCCCCGGGACATCCGAGAGCGTCCACAGAGCGAGCCATCGGTGGGTGGATCACGGGCGAGCAGGCGTGTTGAGTGACTTCTCCAGCCGTGGGGAGGACTCGTGTTGAGAGCTGACGCCTCTCTTGGGATGTGTGGGTGGGTTAGGACGTCACGTCCCATGCACGTGGCCATCTCAGGGTCCTGAGTGGGGACGGGGAGAAGGTGGAGGGTCCCCGGTAGGATTGCCATGTGTACCTGGCAGGAAGGTGGACTGGCTCTCCCTGGCGTGGCCATCTCTAGGTCCTGAGGGGGACAGGTAGCAGGCAGAGGGCCCCCAGTGTGACTGCCGCGTCTGCCCTGGCAGGGTCGTGGACTGGTTCTCACTGGTGTGGCCGTCCCAGGGTCCTGAGGGGGAAAGGGAGCGGGTGGGGGGCTGCCAGCGTGACCTCCATGTCTGCTCTGGCAGGAAGGTGGCCTGGTTCTCGCTGGCATGGCCATCACAAGGTCCTGAGGGGAACGGGTAGCAGGTGGGGGCCCCCAGTGTGACTGCCGCGTCTGCCCTGCAGGGAGGTGGCCCGGTTCTCGCCGGCATGTCCATCTCCAGGTCCTGAAGAGGATGGGTAGCAGGCTGGGGGGGGGTCACAATGTAACTACCATGTCTGCCCTGGCAGGGAGGTGGACTGGTACTCGCTGGCGAGTGTCATCTTCCTGCTGGTGTGCGCGCCCTTCATTGTGTATTACTTCATCATGACATGCGACCAGTACAGCTGCGCCCTGACCGGCCCGGTGCTGGACATCGCCACCGGGCGCACTGGGCTCTCAGACATCTGGGCCAAGACCCCGCCTTTGACAAAGAAAGCCGCTCAGCTCTATGCCTCATGGGTGGCATTCCAGGTGAGCAGTGGTGGGGCAGGAGCGGGGGCAGCGGGTATCCTCCGGCTGGGGCAGTCCTCCCATGTGTCTGGGACTTGGGATCCTGAATCCGGCTGACGTTTGGGTTCTGGGGACGGAGCAGGGCGTTCCCTAGACTTGGATGTACCCAGGTTTGTCATGAGATGTACAGATGGACACCTGTAGCCTCCGTGTCTGAGCCACCTCGGACTGTCTGAATGCAATTCTGAAGCGTGTCCAGCCCGGCCGGGACAGGCTGAGCATACGAACAAGACCCCGAGGGAGGGCAGGGCCGGCCCCGGGGAAGCCCCCCACACGGCAGGAGTTGTGCGCTCGCCTCTGCTTTGGGAAGGAGCAGCCCGGTCCCCACAGGCTGTGCCTCCCCGGAGGCTGCAGCGTGGTCCCAGGTGAGGATGTCCCTGGCTCTGTTGTGACCCCCACCCCCACCTCCCAGTCCAGAGTGAGTCCCCTGAGCTTTGCACAACAAGCCTAGCGAAAACTGTGGTGCAACTTGCTGCCTTGACCCAGGAGGTTTCCAGGGAAACTGGGCTGGAAGAGGGCAGGCCTGGGTATTTCACCCCGGGAGGAAGGCTTGGACTGTAAGGAGCTGTGTCTCCCGGTGTCTGAGCTTTGGGGCCTCGGCATCCCTCTTATTCGGGCCTCTTGGTCCCTTTGGGTGAAAAGTGACAGGGTGGCAGGAATCACAACAACCACATAGCATGTCCATCTGTCCATTGACGCATACCCCTGTCTACCAAGAGATGTACACGCTGTGTAGGGTCTGTCCATCCCGGGAACATGATTTGGCAGTAAAAAGAAATGGAGTTCTGACATGAAAACACCTTGAAAACATGGTGCTAGGCCGGGCGTGGTGGCTGAAGCCTGTAATCCCAGCACTTTGGGAGGCTGAGGCGAGAGGATTGCCTGAACCCAGGAGTTCGAGACCAGCCTGGGCAACCTGGCGAGACCTTGTCTCTACAATAAATCAAAAAATGAGGCCAGGCATGGTGGCTCACACCTGTGATCCCAGCGCTTTGGGAGGCTGAGGCGAGAGGATTGCCTGAGTCCAGGGGCTCAAGACATCAGCCTGAGCAACTTGGTGAGACCTTGTCCCTACAGTAAACCTAAAAATTAGCCAGGCCTGGTGGCACATGCCTGTGGTTCCAGCTACTTGGAAGGCTGAGGAGGAAGGACCGCCTGAGCCCAGCAGGTCGATACTGGGGTGGCCGTGAGTGTGCCACTGCCCTCCAGCCTGGGCAACAGAGTGAGACTCTGACTCAAAAAAAAAAGAAAAGAAAGAAAACGCGGTGCTGGGCAGAAGAGGCCAGTCACAAACGACCACATACTGTGTGATTCCATTTCTGTGAAATGCCCAGATGGGCAGACCCACAGAGATGGGAAGTCCAGTTGTTGTGGGGGCACAGGGAGAGGAAAAGGGGGGTGGCTACAGGAAGGAATGGGGACCCTTTTGGGGTGATGAAAAGTTCTGAGATTAGGTAGTGGCCATAGTTGCACATGTGATACATGCACTTTAAAAGAGTGAATTTTCAGGAGGCTGATGCAGGAGGCTCGTTTGAGCCCAGGAGCTGGAGGCCGCAGTGAGCTGTGAGTGTGCCACTGCACTCCAGCCTGGGCAACAGAGCAAGACTGACTCCAAAAGAAAGTGGGTTTTATGGCTCCGGATTATATCTCAGTTCCTTTTTTTTTGAGTTGGAGTCTCACTCTTGTCACCTAGGCTGGAGTGCAGTGGCACACTCATGACCACTGAGGCCTCAATCTGCTGACTTAGGTGATCCTTCCGCCTTGGCTTTCTAAGTAGCTGAACCTACAGGCGCGCACCACCATGCCCGGCTAACTTTTGTGATTTATTGTCTCACTAAGTTGCCCAGGCTGGTCTCGAACCCTTGGGCTCACGTAAACCTCTCACCTCGGCCTCCCAAACTGCTGGGATTATAGGCTGAGCCACCGTGCCCGTCCTGTTTCTTAAATGGCTTGCCCAGAAGGGACTGGGCGAGAGGGGTGAACTCTCCACAGGGTACGGGTAAGGCTCCCGGAGGAAGACTGCCGAGGCGCCTTTGCTGGGGGACACGTTACTCGTTCAGGTGTCCCTCCAAGCCTGCATTTGTCCTGCAGTCCAAGCCACCAGAAGCCATAAGCTCTTCTGGAATGAAAAAGCCCTAATTCCAATTTGTCACATTCTCACTGCGTATTCATTCACATTGGTGGCTGGGTAGGGAAACCAGGGCGTGTCCACACAGCAGCGCCCTCCCAGCTGCAGGTGACTCGGCTTCACGCTGTTCCAGGTGCTTCTGTACATGGTGCTGCCTGACTTCTGCCACAAGTTTCTGCCCGGCTATGTAGGAGGCGTCCAGGAGGGAGCCGTGACCCCAGCAGGTACCCTGTCCCCTCCCCTCCGCCCTCCCCTGTCCCCACCCTGCCCTCTCACAGGGCCTGCCTCCCTCCATGCTGCCCCTGTCCCAAAGACTCATGTCATAAGAGTGAGTTTTCCTTGGAAACTTTTCACTGCACCAGGACTTGAGTTGATGGACAGGTGGGGCCATCCCAGACACAAGCTGGAAATCACTTTCCTTGATAGGGCGTGGTGACGGGCCCCAGACTTCTCCCTAGTCCCATGGCGGGGGTATATCCTCAGGCCTGGGAGCAGCTTCCTGCAGAGGCCACTGTGGCTTCCCGGACCACCTGCTGGGAAGCCTGGTTCGTGCGTTCCTCACTGTCATGGAGAACCTGTGGAGAACCCAGCTTCTGCCATGCTCTGGGTGCACGTGGGAACCCCACTCCATCTCTGCCTGCAGAGAGCTCTCTGTCCAGTGGGGGCCTGGCAACTCCCTGATGGTTACAAGGGGAACTCAGGACACTGTTGGCACCCATGATGGGTGGGTGAGTGGATGGATGGAAGATGGGTGAATGAATGGATGAGAGGAGGGATGGATGGATGGGTAGATGAATGGATGGTTGGGAGAGTGGGTGGGTGGATGAATAGATGAGTAGAAGGATGGATGGGTGGGTGGGTGGATGGATGGATGGATGGAAGGATGTATGGATGGATGGCTGGATGGGTGGATGGGCCAA